GTGATTTTTTTTAATTATAAATTCACCAAACACAAAATATATAAAAATACAAAAATTCAGTAATATTGTAACAAATGTGAATGATGGTGTTTGGTAATACTATAATAAATGTGGGTAAATAGACGAGAAATAAAAATGATGGCGAAAATAAAAATGAAAAATTCTATTCATATATAAAAATATATACAAAAAATATCATAAAAATATTGTGATAGTAATATTATTGTAAATATAAATCATGTTTATAGGTGTTTTGTTTTAAAATGAAATATCATCATTAAGTTATATCATTGTGTTTGAAAATTTTATATAAAATTTATGTTTGTATATGGCTTAGTAAGAATATGTTCAGGTAGAATTTAATAATGAAAAATTATGAAATATAGTCATGATGATAGGAAGAAGAAATAGTAGAAACAAAATGATAAAATGATCATTTAGAAAATTTTAAAGCATTTATGAAACAATTTGTAATGAGATTACAAACCTTAAGGAGGGAAATGTAATTTTTCAAGCGTAAGGAAGGAATCTGTATTAAACAGAAACTTTAGGGGTGTTAGTGTAATTTATCCTTGTACAATTTAGGATAAATTACAAACACACCTCCTGAAATTTACTTAAATTATAAATTATCCCTGTAGTTCTAGAAATTACATTATGCTCCCTAAGGTTTCTAATTTCATAACAAACAGACCATTTTATTAATAAATCATCAAATTAATTAACAATTTTTAATAATGTTAAAATTTTATTTCAATTAATAATTCAGATAATTTTATTATTGTATAAATGAACAGTTAGAAATTTTACTTTTTCAATTAAATAAAAAATTCTGACAATGAGGTATTTGTAATTTTTCAAACCACAGAAGACAATTTGTATTTTAGCAAAATCTCAGGGGGCGTGTTTGTAATTTATCCTAAAATTTATTTGGATAAATTTAGTTTTAAGAGTAAATTATGAAAAATTTAAAACATAAAGGGTCAAAATGAAAAAAAAATATTAATATTTAAAGTGAAAAAGTGACTTAAAAAAAAAAGAAGGATAAAAGTGTAATTTATCCAATTTATTTTTGGCCTGTTTTGGAAAGATGGTAAAAAGTGACTTTTTGACTTTTAACCAAGTTTTTGGCTTTTTTAGACAAATGATTTGGGAAGTTGGTAAAATGTTACTTTTGACTTTTTTGATTAATACTTACGATGCCAAATTACAATAAAATGACCAAACTACCCCCATTAATTTAAAATATTTACAATTTCACTTATGTAGCACATTTTGACTCATAAAGGGTAGAATTGTAATTTCATCAGTAGCTAAAAACTAACTTCCCAAATGAAAAAAATACACAAAAGTCAATTTTTGACTTTTACTACAAACCAAAAAAAATGACTAAAAGCTAACTTTCCAAAATAGCCCTTTATAACATTTCCCCTAGTTTTTTTTGGGAAACCCAACAAACACTGCCTTGCATCGGGTTTGTTTGGTTTGTTTTTAACAGAGTTGTTTTTGAAAAAAATTTTGGGGAGAGAGTTTAGAAATCTCTCTCTCTAAAAAAAAAAACAGATAGAAAAATGTTTGGGAGCACTAAAAAGAGATCACTAAAGGGAACACTAATGATGTGACAGTGGCCCCGCCCACTTTCTATGCCTTATTTTTATTTTTTTATTATTTTTTTAGTAATTCTAATATATTAGTGTTATTAATAATATATTTTTTAATGATCTAAATATATTGATCTTATTAATGGTGTATTTTTTTAGTGGTCTAAAATCATCGTTGAAACAGATAACAGAACACAGAAGAGAGAGAAACAATCAACCAATCTTCAATGGGTTCTCTCTCTGCTCCTCAATCTTCAGACCTCTCTCTATCCTCCAAACAAACACTTATCGACCCAAACGACCTTCTCAACCTCTTCAAATCCCAGCAAAAGTACCTAAATTTCTTCTTCCAAAATCTCGATCTCTCCCAAACCCTAGCCTTCACTCAAACCCTCTTGAATTCCCATGGCACCATCTTCTTCTCCGGCGTCGGAAAATCTGGTTTCGTAGCTCGCAAGATCTCCCAAACCCTAGTCTTCCTCGGAATCCGATCTGGGTTTCTCTCCCGTCGATGCCCTTCATGGCGACATCGGCATTCTCTCCGACTCCGATGTTCTCGTTGTTAAATTCAATGTAAAAAGAGAGAAATATAGAGAGAATAATGTATCTATTGATATTATTATTGATTGTATTATTGATGCATGTTATGTACATGGTTGGTCTCCTTTATATAGGAGATGTGGGTGGAGAGTAGGTGTAGTGGAGTAGATGGAGTAGGTGGAGTTGTGTAGTGGAATAGGTGAAGTGGAGGTGGAGTTGTGTAGTGGAGTAGGTGAAGTGGAGTAGTTTTAACAACCTCCCTCAAACTCAAGGAGGATAGACACTAACCAACTTGAGTTTGGAGAGAGTAACAAAACAGGAAAGTAAACTGATGAATAAAATAAAATAGGATAGGAGACACGGTAGGGTCGTGTCAGACCGTTGTAGGAGGTAATGTCTGGACAGTTTACGAGGTCACACCGGACCGATGTAGAAGCTAACCGGAATCAATGTCGGGACAGTTTATGGGGTCATGCCGGACCGATTTAGAATATACTGTATGATGGTGTATATAGGCTGCCCAAATATATATACATGGATATATATATCGAGCCCTCAAAAGGCGCGCCCTCAAAAGGCGCTCCCTCAAAAGGCGCGCCCTCAAAAGGCGCGCCCACTGCATCAAAAGCCGTGCCCGACAGAAAGCATCGAGCGGCGAGCCATCAAAAGGCGCGCCAGACACGTGGCGATGCACGTGAGCGACAGAGCGGCGTGTCGGCCGCGTCGTCATTGTCGATATAAACCAATGCAGAGGCTGTGTAAACCAAACCAGGCTGAAACCTCTGAGCATTGTCATTCTGAAACATTCTGTAACCAACCCGTTCTGACATTACCAGTCGGAAATCGCTGCTGCTCTGAAACACTCATCAACCCAAAACATGGCCTCTTCTTCCCGTGGTCTACTCACTCTCTTTCCAGACCTCAACGAGTCCACAAGAGAGATAACTGGTGCGGTTGCCCTTGAACCTCAACCAAGCGCCCCTGAGTTTGCTCCGTTGACCTTTCCTATGCGGTCTGTGGCGCAAAGAATGGCAGCACAATCAGATATTGAGGCCAATTAGTATACATTGAAGTCATGTGTGAAGACGATGACGGCAGTCACAAACTTGTCGCACCGGCTTCAGAGTAGGACAAATGAGGTGCAGCAGTTAAACGCCTAACTGGCTCTGCTCCAGCGCATGTATAAGGATGCGCGAGCAGAAATATGTGTACTAAAGGCGGAAAACAAGGAGCTGAAGCGGAAGGCCACCGTTATGTTCCGATTTGGAGGTCCGCCATATGCTGCAGTGGAGGAGCAGGAGGGAGTGAACGTGCTCGGCGGCGTA